TCTGCCATTCAAATTATTTCTTTGTCTTAACTGACTAGAAGCTTCCATACACATGTTGAGTAAGAGTGAGGATAGTGAACATGGCAGAGACGTTTATTGCTTATTTGCTATTCAGGCCCTCTTCCATCCTTTCAAGCCCTCTTGCAGTTATGTAGGGCCTGCTCTATCTGGATGATGATGGAAAATTGTGTGTATTCCTTCCAGGGTGAAGCGTAGATGAACTGATAGGAACTCTCTCTCATTGCAGTGACAAGGAGGCCTCATGTTCCAAAATATACAGCCATAAGTTGTTCAGTGTGCCTCATCAAAACAATCCTTGGACAGTCTTGTGAAGTATAATTTCTCTTGCTAACCTCTATTACTATAAAGCACAGGGGAAAATGAACCTCTGTTATGTTAAGCCACCAATTTTTGAACTTAATTTGCTACTGCAGCATAGTCTAATACAGTGCCTTCTTGTCTTGATCCTGTCTTTGATAGGATCGTGTCTAAGGTTTCACTCCTGTGAATGTTATTTGCAGTAGATTTTTGTAAAATATCCTTTAACAAGTTAACAAAGTTCCTTTTGAAATTCCCTGTTTGCAAGGAATATTTTTTTAATTATGAATGGATGTTGAATACTATCAAACGCCTTTTTTTCGGCATCTATTGGGTTGATTAATAGATTTTCTAATGCTAGCCTATCCTTGTATACTTTGAATAAACCCAATTTGGTCATGTTATATTCTTTTTCTTTAATGTTACTAAATGTAATTTTTTAATATCTTATTTAACATTTTTTATTTTTTAATATCTTATTTAACATTTTTTCCATAGATGGTTTCTAGTGAGGGTGGTCTGTAATTACCCTTCTACTATCCATGAGTGGTTTGGTGGCATTATTATGATCACATCATAAAATTAACTGGAGATGTCTTTCTTCTTTGAGAACAGTTTGTCAGTTTGTTCCTGAGCACTATATTTTGGGTTGTTAGTAAATCAGATTGTGAGACCATCTTCTGTAGACTTTCCTTTTAGGCATCCTGAGGGGCTTGGACTCTGAGAGTTTTCCACTTGGGAGATCTGCCATAGGTCTCTCATATGTCACTGGCCTGACACCCCCTTACTTAGGAGCTGTTCTACTTTGCTTCAGTTTCCTCTGCTATGAGGTGCAGAGAATAAAAATATCTACCCCATAAGATTGTTGTGGGAATGAAACAAGTTATTTATATAAATGCATAGAACAGTGGTCTAAGAAGGGACACTCCCCACATATACATACACACAAGGATTGATCTATTTAAGGAATTACTTATCACTTTCATTGTATTATTTTGGAATTTCTTTCCAATTCTCCAGTGTAAAGAAAGTACATCTTTCTAAAACCAAACCAGGTAGTTGAGTGTATGGATTTTTAAACTAGATAAGATAGGAACTGATGACTCATTTGAAATAGGATTCACTAAGGAATATTCTTGGCAAAACTGAGAAACTCCTCTTAGTTACCAATATCTGCTTCTCTCTCTCTTTTTTTTTAAGACTTATTTATTTGAGAGAGAGCACAAGCGGGGAGGGGAGCAGAGGGAGGAGAGAATCCCAAGCAGGCTCCCCACTGAGCATGGAGCCCGATGTGGGGCTTGATCTCATGACCCTGAGATCACGACCTGAAACCAAAAGTTGGAGCTTAACTGACTGTGCCACCAGGTGTCCCTGCTTCTCTCTTTTTTGAATGAGAACTTTACTTTCTTATCATCCTCAAAGCAGTACCTATACTGCACTTTTTCCCTGCACTCCTTATTCTCAACTATTTCCCAGCTAATTTTAGCCATTAGAATTATTTGTATTTATTTCTTAAATTTTATGCCCCACAACAAAGGAGAAGTTTTAGAGCATGGTGTCGAGTATCAGGCACTAAGTAAGCTACTTGTCAGACAAGTGAATTTCCTGTTTCCCATTATACTTAGTAGTTAATTCTTCCTTCCATTAATTGGATCTTGAAGTTCCTGTAAATATAAAATGTTATGGCCATTAATGTGATTTAATTTATCAGATTATCATGTAAACAACTTTTCAGGACTCTTATTTCATGAGTATAGTATAACCAAACCATTATATATCACAAATTTGAAAAGTATGTCATTTGCATAATTACATTTATGAAATTACAATTAATTTTATGTATGAAACTTTTCTACTTAAAACAGTTTTAGATTGGTTTAAAAATACTAAATTTTTTATCTTGATACATTTTAACATTTGCAATCTTGGAATTGTTACATATTTGAGGTCTTAGGGCATTTAAAGAACTATTTCCATAAATGTAAAAAAAAAGCCTTTATGCTGAAATACAAAGATTGCTGTAAACAGAGGACATAAATATTATTCTCTCTCATAAGCTATGCCCTCTTCTTTGTGTTTTCACTGATTTTACCACATTTTTGTGGCAAACCTGGAAGATTATTTGCCCAGTTTATAGATAAGGAAACTAAAGCTTGGAGAGGAGATGACCTGGTCAGGCAGGGATTTGAACCCTGGTCTTTGGATTGTAAGCCAGTGTCCTTGAAGAATCATCCAAGAAAGGAACTCTTCAGTAATGAGCCAAAGACATTAATATTCCATTTGATTTCTGAAGTGAGTAAGTAACCTATGAAAAACTCATAAGAGCTGTGGGAATGTTTCTTAAGCTAAGGCTTGAGACTGAAAGTTTGAAATGGATTCTTATCAAAGACTCACCCCCTCATTATATCTTTCAGTCCTCCATGTAGATGTAAAACATTACAAAACAAATATTTACTCTAATTCCATGGAAAGACTACATCCTAGCTGTGATCCCATTGCACAGTTACTTATTATATATCTATTTAATTATAATTTCCTTCCTCTTTATTTTATCAGTACTTGTTTTTTCATGTCTGCCATCATGGATTGTAACTTCTTTGAGGTCTTATCTGTGATTGCTGTCTCCTACCTTGTTCAGTACTTTATACATAAAATATGCTTTAATAAATGTTGAATAGTATTGGGTTATAGCATTTAAAGTTCTCTATAATGTGCCCCTTTCCACCTCTAAGAAATTCCCTCCTATCGCTCTCCTATAGAGATAGCCAAGTTACCATACTCAGTGTGCATCTTTCCTTTCTCCTTTTCCCCCATTCTTAATGCCATTTCTCTCTTTACTTAATGGCCTTGATTCCAGTCCCACCTCCTCCGTGAGACTTCCACCGTTCAGACCAAAATCGTTGAATATCCTTCTGCATTATTGTCATTAGGATATATTCCCCTCTCTGATTCTTTCTTGAACTCAACTCCAGATTATCATTCCTATCACTCCATCAGTGCTACTCTTGTTGTTACCGATGACCTTCCAATTGCTAAAATACAAAGGTCCATTCACAATCTTTTCTAGTTTGATTTATTAGCAGTATTTAACGTAGTTACTGCCCTTACTTGAAATGCTTTTTTCAATTGACAACACATTCTTCTGTTTCTTCCCCTTCTTCCCTGGTCACTCCTTAGTCTCATGTTTCCTTCTCATCTTCTGAGCCTCTCAGTGTATTCCCAGGGCTCTGTCTTCAGATGTTTTCTTCTATTTATGCTCTCTTCCTTGATGATATCATCCAGTGCCCTGTCTTTAAATACCATTTGTATCTTTATCCTGGACTCTTCTCCTAAATTCTACTCTAATATGGTGGGTGACTAATAAATTGATATGTGAAGTTCAACATGTCCAAAAACAGACTCCTAACATTTACTCTTCCATCCTTCCAGTTGGAAGGGTATAACTAAATCATACAAACTCAACTCTTCAGGTTGATTAGGCCAAAAGACTGGTGTTATCTTTGACATCCAGTCCATCAGCAAATCCTGTTGGCTCTATCTTTCAAATGCCTTTTGAGTCTGATCTCTTTTCACCTCCATTGATTATCACTCTAATCCAATCCAGCATCCTTTTCCGTATTTTATTGTAATCATTTCCTAGCTGATTTCCCTGCCTCTGCCCTTGGCCCCTCTTATAGACTGTTCTTAACAGAGTAGCCAGGGAGATCTCATTTTTTTAAAAAAATAGTCACAGCATAGAAACCTAAATCCTTAAAATCTACCTTTTTAACTTCGTCGCTTACTATTTAGTTCAGCCTTGTTGGCTTCTTTGCTATTTCTAATATACCAGGCTATGCTCTCCACCGCACCCCCATAGGTGCATTTATTTACGTTTATTTTTCTCTCTTTCTGGAATGATCTTCCTACAGATGTCCCCATGACTTAGGTCTTGTGGTCTTTACTAAGGTCTTCAGGCCTTTACTCCTTAGGTCTTTACCAAGACATTCTCTTTCTCTGTGAGGTCCCCATTGATTATCCTATTTAAAATTGCAGCTTCTTCCTTCCATACCCCTCCCACACCACCCATCAGCACTTCTTATCTCCTTTCCTGCTTTATTTTCTTCTCCTGGTATTTACCATCCTTAGACATCTAGCTCACATATTTCTTAGTCAGTTATTTGGGACTGTAACTGAGCCATTTGAATCACATGCTGTTTGGTTCTGGGATGAAAGCTGCTCATTAGTAGAATGTAAATTTTACTAGAATTGAAGTTCCACATAATAAGGGTAGGAATTTATTAATTTTTCTATCCTGATTTATTCATTTGTCCCCAGAACAAATGAATCAATGAATGAGTATTAGGATAGAATTCTGTTCTGTTTGGCCTCATAGCTAAACTGGGCTATAATTAGTTTCTGTGTATTGTCCTTTGTTATATATGTACACCCCTACCTTTACCCCACCACTACTCAAAAGCCCTTGGAATTGATAAAGTTTTATAAATTTTAGACATGTGGAATGAACAATCCAGATGTATTTAATATTTAATGTTACAGTGAAAATGATGACTGCTACATTCTGAAATTTACCTTCAAATATAGCTGTGGCATTATACTTTTTTTAAACTCTTACAAAGGTTCTTAAGGTTGTATGTATAATATTACCACATTTATTATGTGTATACAAATATTTTTTTAAACAGGTTACCCGGACACCCCATGGGAGAGACTTTGATGACTCTTTGGAAAGGTGTGATGAGTATTTAAGCTCACGGTCATGTAGCAAGCCACAGCATTCAGCAAGGACCTTACTCGTCCATTCAGCACCCTCAACAATGCCGAAGCATTCTCCAAGCCCTGTGTTAAATCGAGCTTCTCTCAAGGAAAGGTAATGCTTAGTCTCTCTTTCTATACTGATTTTTTGAATAATCATTATTAGAAAAGACAAGGCAGCAATTATATATGTGAAATGATTATTCATACAAGTATAATTTGATTTTAAAAGACTTACTTTTTGTTTAGAATACATTACATATTATATAGTACTACATACTCCTCCCCAACCCAGTCCTCTTAAAGTGAGTTTATTAACTATTGGTGAGTTTATTAATTAGAGTCACTTTAACCCTAATTAAATACTGTAATTCATAAAAGTGAAAAATAGTGCATGTTGGTTTGTTTTCAAGAGATTCATAGGGACTTAACATTATGGACATGGCTAATGTATAAAAATAGCATAGATTATACATTCCTTTTAGTGGTAATGATGATGCCATATATTGTTGGTATATGGTACCTGATTTCCTCAAATACACCCTCCCCAACTCCCTGGGAGAATCTTAACCATCTGAGCCACCCAGGCGCCCTCCCTGGGAGAATCTTAACCATGTAAAGATTCTAGCCTCCCTCTAAAAAAGCTTTAACAACCAAAGTTAGACACTTGTTATAATTTGAATGTGAAAGAAATAATTCCTCTTTATCTGTTTTTGTTGTTGTTAAATTCAGATTGGAAATTCCTTGCCTCACTCACTAATAGTAACAGAGAAAACAGAGTTGTCATAAATTAAAAAAAAAAGCCCACCCTAGGTAGTTTAAAATTTTTATAGAAATTTGAACACCTAAGAGAAATGCCATCAACAAATGGAAATAAAATCTGTCTTTACAGATGGCATCAAAATGCTAATGTAACACACCAAATTTGTACAGCTTATTACAACTGTCAGACATAACTGACAAAATTTAAACTAACTGTATCGTCTATCAAAAAGTTCATCTCAAAATTGGTGATTTGAGCAAGAGTGTATCAGTTTGGAATTAAAACATCTCTATTCTGAACAGGTAGTTTCGTCTCTTTCCTCATTAGCCCCCTAAGCATTCAAATGGATCTATGGAGGTCTGCTGGAGACCCTAATCCTCAGATGGGGAATTTTATTTAATGTTGCTTCTAGGCCATTAGAATCCTGCCTGAGGGGTCATGGAGTTCATAGATAGAGATGGACAGATAGATTAAAAAAGATCTATCTCTATATTTTATGAGAGAGATGCGTATCTCTGTTTCTATAGGCTTTAAAGTTCAAGAGAAACTTTTGAGAGATTTTCCTGCTGAAGTCTGCTAACCTGTGTCTCAGTTGTCAGGGGACTTTCTTCAATTTCTGTGTCTGCTCAGATGTTCAGACGTGTAGTCAGTGCTACCCTCTTTTTCCTTTACTTTTAGAATTAAGCACTTGTGGTTTTATTCATTAGGTTCTTTGCCATCTCTGTAGGTTTTCAGGAAATTTTTTATCTATATCTCCTTGGATATGTTTTTATGAACATTGTTTTATTTTTCTGCCTTTTCACATCTTTTGCACAGCTCTCCAGTTGTCTCTACCACTGTAGGACAATATGAATTTTAGTCCCATGTTATTTTATCCTTGTCTGTAATTTTGTCCCAGCTTTTGAAGCCTGTCTTCCCAAGTTGACAAATTCTTCATTGAGGCTGTACTCAAAAATTCTTCACTGGGGTTAGCTAAAGTCAACTATCCCTTTTTCATATTCCAGTTCAGGTGATGGCCTCTAGTAGTGAGCAGCATTTACACATTTATTCTGATGCTTGGTAGTAGATGTAGTTAAGTTCTTTTCTCGAAGGAAATGAGGAGCTCTAATATTAAACATGACCCATTTCACCTATCACTTGAGGAAGGTTGAGGTGCTTTTAAAATAAACAAAATAAAATCTAAATAAATTAATAAACTTTTATTGGGGTACTCCTTAGGATAAACTTTTTTACTTTCACTAAGGTAGAACACCTCTACTTTGAGTGTATGTTCTAAAAAAGATTTAGACATAGTTATAAAAGAAAATAAAATGTCTATAGGACATATTACTAGGAACAAAAACATTTCATCCTTTTCAGTACACTCAGTACCGAATATAAGATGTTCTTATATATAAGACGTTCTCTGATATGGCTTTTTGGGTTACTGAGCAGTATACTTACAGAGTGTTTATAAAATCCGGTGGAATCAGTAAACAATTTAAACTGATATAAATGTAAATTGTATGTCCCCAGCAAAATTGGGAGTATGACAAAATATACAGCTATAGGAGGTTATCTGGGTAGTTATTCATTAAGATGAAGTAAGTTTTCCTCTAAGATTACTGTAAAATGTTGACTCCTTAATCATGTATGTGAATAAACAGACTTTCAAAAACTCTATTAGTGACTGTAAGCAAATGAATTTCTTTATTTATAGTGAAGGTGCTTTTTGCTTTAAGCCCATTTAAAAAAAAATATTTCCAGTAGAGTTAACACACATAAAATGGTTGCAGTTTTTATTAGAAATGTTAAATTTCAGAAGCAGTTTTCTCCTCCAAGTATAAATATTAATATTATGACTTATCATTTGTATTAGGCTGTAGAGTTATTACTAAAATCAGACTAAGAAATACTTGCAAATCTAATTAAAAAGGAGTTGATATTCCTTTTAATCATGCTTAATGTTTTTGAATTTTGTAAATGAAGTTAGATAAGCAATCATTTCTTATACCACAGCACAGACTAGTGGATCCTCTCATAGTACACTGAAGAGATCCTCTTGGAACTAAATATTTGGATCTCAGGTTTTCAATATGGGTTACATATGTAGCAAATAACAAGGTCTGACAATATACTTGTGTAGATGCAGTAACACTTTCCTTTTACAAACGTAGGATATTGAAATTTAGATATAGTTGATCATCCATTATTGATTGCATTCTTCGAAACAGATTATGTAAATCATTTTTCCTGCTTAATAGTTTATACCTTGTATAAACATAAAATTATAACTTTGCAAGAACAAGCTGGGAGAAAAAAAAGGCAAAGATGTAAGCAGTTAGCATTTTAGTACCCATTCCTTTATGAAGGAATTATCAATAACACTTGATATAGATGAATTAGATGGACCTGGAGGTTTTCATTATTACTTGTATAAGGTAGATAAAGTAGTTTAGTTAAACTAATGCCAGTTTCGAGTTTGGGGAGGGCATAAGAAAGAAGAATGGTTGCTTTGTTTTTTCTGTAATTCCACAACTCAGATTTTAATAAAAGTCACATTTTCCTTTCCTGTTTTTCAATATTCACTAAAAAAAACACACACACACTTACAGGAGAGACTAGAGGAGTGGTATCTGTGCAGAGAGGGGATCATTCAATTTTTATGTTCCTCTGTATTTTGAGGGAGTAAGAACATGATAGGATTCTAAATAATATTTTCATCTATTTAAACATTTTACTTCATTTCATAAAATTAGTTTTATTTTTCTGTATACAGAAAGGAATTTCTCCCACATAATTTAAGAGAGTGGGATTAAATTACTGGAAAATAAGAACTAATTTTAAAGGCACTATACATGGAATTATTGTTCTAATTTGTACATCTGTATCTCTTTTTTAGAGATAAAGCTCTAAAGACTTATGTAAGGAAATCATTAAAATGATCAAATATATAGGTATGCTCTCCCTAATTCATGCCAAACTTTATTAAGACTACTTATTGCACATATTATAAAGACTTAATACTTCTGCAGAGAATCAGTGCCTGATTTTACATCTGCCTCTCATCCTTGGTCAATGAAGAAAATATACTATTTTAATCTTTCTTTGTTATCACACAGGGATAAGGAAAAAAATGACTTTCTATATCTGGCATTTGGAAAGATTTATTTTTCTCTCCCTCTGACTACAAGTCACCTTTGTTTTTTATGCCCACAGATTCCATTCTGATTGGTGTTCACCTTCAAACTGCGATGAGATCCATGACCGGGTAAAAAATATCTTGAAATCACATCAGGCTCATCAAAGACATTTATATGTTAGTTTCTAAAATTTTCTTTTGAAGGCCTTTTCTAATTGGGCAAGAAAACCAGTGAAGATGCTTAAAGCTTATAATATTAAATCACTGGAAAGAGAAGAAAGAAAGATACAACCTCCATTCAGTGGAAGTCAGTGGTTTTGCTAAAGGCAACTTCTCTAACTTCCTGCTTGACCTGAGTCATTATGTAAAATGTTTGACATCATCTGAACTCGAAACAATGTTACTAATAATTACCTCAGAGTCAGTAAGTAGAGATTTTATGATGATTATTTTATAGCCTTCAAAGTGTGGAGACTCTTATTTTGTGGCCCAGTATAAAACAATTCCATTTCCCACAAATATTTTATTCTAAATGGTAGAATGAGGGGAGTTGGGTGAGAAATAATTGTTTTGAAGCAGCTTCCCAACTGATTTTTATGTTAATTAAATATTTAAAAGAGGAAAAGAGCAGGTCAGGTTTACTGGGTTTAATATTAGAGAACATCAATATGAGAATATTTTCTGAGGTAAGGCAAATAAACATATATATGAAGGACAGCTGGGGAATAATTACAGTGTATTCTTTTTGTGTTTGATTTGTTTTTGTTTGTTTCATTCAGTAGTTTGAAAAACAGTCATTTATCATGAGCGTCATGTTGGGTACTAGGCTTGGTCCTGACAATATAACTGGATTATGTGACATTCCATCAGTTTGTACAGTTTTAAGTTTCTATATGCATACTGTTTTTAAATTAAGCTTGTTTTCAAAGTACAGTGTATATATGTATATATAGAAAATGCACAAATCATAAGTAACCAGTTTATGAATTATAATAAATCAGCACACTCCTTTGTAAACTATTTACCAAATCAAGAAATAAACTATTATCAGCTCTGCAGAAGCTTCTCTTCTTTCCTCTCAGCTACTGCCACTCCAGGGGTAAAAGTTATCCTAATTTCTAATAGCAAGATTAGTACTGTGTGTTTTAATCTTTATATAAATGAAATCCTACAGTATCTACTTTTTTCTCTGACTTGTTTCACTTTGACTTTGCAATTCAGACTTCTTTGTACTGCAGACATCTTATATTTAGTAATATCTTCACTTTTGCTGCTGTATGGTATTTTATTATATGAAAATACTACTGTTCACTTATTCATTCCTCTGTTGATGGACATTTGGGTTGTTTCTGGTTTGGGCTCTTATAGAGCTGCTGTAAGCATTTTATGCATACTTTGGGTATCATTGTATTCTTATTAGGATATGTATGTATTCTTCTTTGGGTATGTATGTATTCTTCCTATTTGGAATTGCCCAGTCATAGGGTATGTGTACATTCAGCTTTAGAAGGTGCTGGCAAAGAATTTTTCAAGTGATTTTAACTACCTGTGTATGAGAGTTATACTTGCTCCACATCCTTACTGGTACTTAATTGGCGTGTGTGTGTGTGTGTGTGTGTGTGTGTGTGTGTGCGCGTGCGCGCGCACATGAGTGCGTGCGCCTGTGTGTGTTTTCATTTTGGCCTTTTGGTAAGATGTAGTTTATCATATGATGGTTTCAATTTTCTATTTCCTGATGACTAATGAGTATACTTATTGGCCATTGGATATTCTCCTTTGTGAGCACTTGTTCAAGTCATTTGCCAATTTTTGTACTGAATTATCTCCTTTTGGTTTTTTGTTGAGAGAGCCATATAGGTCCTTGATATGAATTTTTAGGTATATGTTTTGTAATTGTCTTTTCCCACTCTGTGCCTTGCCTTTTTATTCTCTTAATGACATCTCTGATGAAAAGAAATTCTTAATCCTAAGGAATTCAATTTATTATGGTTTTTTGTTGTTGATTAACATTTTTAGAAATTTTGTGTACTTCAAGACTTTCTCCTATGTTTTCCTCTAAAGGCTTTCTGTTTTATTTCCCATTTAAATATATGATCTGATTAAAATTATTTTTTCTGTATCATGATAGATAGATATCAAGTCCCAAGAAAGGTTTAAGCCTCAAGATTTCTTTGAAACAAAAAACAAGATTTTTTGTTTCGTTAATTTTATATATTTTGAAGCAATGTCATTGGTGGGATACAGAACCTTTTATTGTGAAGGTTCTTCATCTCTAGTAATATTTCTTGCTTCACAGTACATTTTATCTGATATTTGTAGTTACAATGGCTTTCTTTTGTCTAGTCTATGCATGGTAGGTATTTTTCCATTTTTTTTCTTTTTATCATATTTAAAGTGCATATCTTGTGAGTAACACAAGGTTTTTTTTGAAGAATTAAAATCTAGAACTTTTATGTAGATTGATGTGGCTTTGGTTTGGATTGGTAAGTATTTTTTATAACTTACTTTCATTTTTATTAAATTGTTATTCATTTTTAACTTTTTTTTATTGGTTGCTCTACAGATTTCAAAATGCATACATGACAAATTATTTTTTCGTTGACCTCTCTAACAATAACAGGGCCCTAAAACATTTAACCCTTTTTAACCTGCCCCCTTTTTGCACATTTTTGTCATGCATTTTAATTCTACATATATAAAACACACAAGAAATTGATTTTGTTTATATAGTAATGTTTATTCATGTTCTTTCATTTTATTCATTATCCTTTCTATTATTCTTCCTTCTTTCCTGTAATTCCATGTTCCCATATGGATTCTAGAGTCATTTTCCTTCTGCCTTTAATACATCTTTTATAACATTCTCCTGGCTGTGAATTCTGATTTTATTTGAAAAATCTTGGTTTTAGTTTTGTGTGGGATGGTTTTATTGGATATAAAACTCTGGATTGGTAAAGTTATTTTCTTTGGTATTTTAAAGAAGTTATTACATTGTCTTCTGGCTTTTTTGTGTGTCTTGAAAAGTAAGCTATTACACCTTTGAAGTAATGTGGGAATTTTTCCCCACTTTGTTGCATTTAAGATTTACTCCTCAACTTTGTGTTTAGTAATTTACTCTTATATACCTAGATGTGGTATTCTTGGATTGATTCTATGTTAAATTCTCAGGGCTTCCTAAATTTGTAGGTTGATATTTTTCATTAGTTTTGGAAAACCTATAGCCATTCTTTCTCTAAACAGTACTTATGCCCCATTATCTGTTTTTCTGGATTTCCCAATTATACTTATATTAGATTTTTAGACTTGTATAAGATTTTTTAGATTTTTAGACTCATGTATCTTGTGCTTATTTTGATATTTTTAATTTTTTTTCCTCTCTCTCTAATTTGGATACTTTCATTGGAAATGTCCTCTAGTCTGCTAATCCTGTCTTATGTGTTTACATTGATGTTAAAACTATTTGAAACTTTATGAAAGACATAACTTTCAAGAATTTTTTGAAAGACATAAAGTACCAAAACTAACTCAAGAAGAAGTTCATAATCTCAATAGCTGTATATCTATTAAAGAAATTGAATTTGAAGTTAAGAATCTTACATAAAAGAAAACACCAGGCCCAGATGATTTCTCTGGTTAATTCTACCAAACCTTTAAGAAAAACCTAATGGCAGTTTTACCAGACAGAAAGTAGAAGAAAAACTTCCTAAGTTCATTTTATGAAATCAGTATTTTCCCTAATGTCAAAGCCAGACAATGACATTATAAGAAAAGAAAAATACAGACCCAAAACCCTCATGAACATATATGCAGAAATCCTCAAGAACATACTAGCAAATCAAATCCAGCACTATATACAAATGAAAGTATATCATAATCAAGTGGTCTCATTCTAGAAATGCAATATAAATTCATCTTATTGACAGGTTAAATAAAAAGCATATTTCTTCTGTATGTCATTTCAATAAGCACAGAACAAGTATCTAACAAAATCCAACTCTATTCTTGATAAACATTCTTAGTAAAGTTGAGGTCAGAAGGGAACTTTATCAACCTAATGAAGAACATCTTTAAAACCTACAGCTAACACTTTGTAGTTAATGGTGAAAGACTGAATATTTTCCCCTAAATTCAGAAACAAGGATGCCCTCTCTTAACATTTCTTTAGCATCATATTGAGAGTCTTAGACAATGCAGGAAGATAAGAAAAAGAAATAAGAGGGATACAGGTTAGAAAATAAGAAAAAAAAAACCACTTATATTTGCAGAGGATATTATTTTGCAGAAAATTCCACAGGATCTCCAGAAAAGCTCCCAGAACTAATAAGTGAGGTTAGCAAGGTCACAAAATATGAAGTCAATTTTTTCCTATATATCTGAAATGAATAGTTGGAATTTTAAATTAGGAAATCCATACCATTTACAATAGCACCAGAAATTGAAGTTCTTAGGTATAATCCTAATAAAATACGTGCAGCATTTGCATTTTGAGAACTACAAAATGCTGTTGAAAGCAATCAAAGAAGATAGAACTAAATGAAGAACTACATCATGTTCACAGATTGGAGGACTCAATATGAAGATGTCAGTTTTCCCCAATTTGATGTCTAGATTCAGTGCAATCATAATTAAAACCCTATCAAACTTTTTAATAGAAATTGACAAGCTGATTATAAAAGTATATGGCAAGGGCAAAGGAAATTGAAAAACCAAAAACAATTCTGAAAAAGAACAAAGCTGGAGGACCTAGCAACTAATTTTAAGACTTACTATAAAGCACAACAATGAAGGCAGTGTGTTGTTGACTAAACCATAGACACATATGTCAAAGGAATAGAATAGATACCTCAGAGATAGACGCACATCAATACTGTCAACTGAGTTTTGACAAAAGTACAAAGTCAATTAAACAGAGACTTTGCATTTGTTGTCTTTCAGTGCATAGTTCTGGATTTTTAAAAATGCACATTTAAAAATAGATCATAGACCTAAAACATAGTAGAAAATCTATTTAATTTATATTTGTAAATTACTTTTAAGAAATGACACCAAGCACATGATCCATAAAAAAATTGATAAATTTAACTTCATTAAAATTAAAAAACTTTTGGTCTGTGAAAGACAATGTTAAGAGAATAGAATGACAAGTCATAGTCTGGATGAAAATATTTGCAAATCAC